GTGTGTGTGTGTGTGTGGCAGGGGTGGGATTCAAAATTTTTTGGAACCTCTTCTGTAGGTGTGGCCTGCTTTCCGGGTCCACTGGTGAAACTTCTTCTAACCGGTTCGGTAGATTTGACGAACCGGTTCTACCGAATAGGTGCGAACTGGTAAGAACCCACCTCTGGATCACATATAGATCTGACAGGAAAAAACTCTGTCCAGTCAAAGTTTAATTGTGCAATAATCTAGGAAATGTTATGCATTAGATATCAGACTACTCACAAAAGCAAGTAAAACAACTGACCCCCAACATTCCTAACATCCAGAAAGGCTCTGAAGACAGTTTGACTAAAGTGTAAAGTTTTGAAATGTAAAAGTTAGGAAACCTCTATTTCTTTTATGCTGTTTCCATTACTTTTTCTACTTCTGTTTTTCTATATACTTCTCAAAGTCTAAGCAATTCGTTTCAATGTACAAACAACAAACAAAAATTATTACATTGTCCGAAAACCCAAAATAGGAGAAATAGCTAGCATTTTAGAAGAAAATAAAATTTTGAAAACATGCTACTCCTCTCATGGTTTTTTTTTTTTTTTTTTTGGGCTTTTCCCCAAACAGACAGAATCAGCTTTGATGTACGATGGTGTTTACATGGTAGCAATGGCATCCCAGTGGGCCTTCCAAATGACAGTCAGTTCCCTCCAGTGTCACCGGCATAAGCCATGGCGGTTTGGAACTCGCTTTATGAATCTGATAAAAGAGGTATATATGGGTTGTTCTTGGCATCAATAATGATGCTTTCTTTACCTTTACTGAATATGGTATATTTTCTTCATAATGTTCAGTGTCTCTTCAGTGTCTCAATATATTCAATTTTCCTTCTTTGACAAAGAAGCATCATGTTAGCACTGCCCAAATTTAGCTTAGTTTGTTGTAAAGGAGAATTAAGTTTTAAACATCAGTAATTCTGATCTCAGAATTAATCAAGGAACTATTAAATTTTAACTTCTAGTAAATTTCCATTTGTTGAGCTTGGGAAACTGAAACAATTATTCATTTTTTTCAGAATTCCCTCAAAAGAATGTGTTTGTTGAAATGCAGAGAATGAATGGCCTTGTTTTCAAGTATTTTTTTCTAAATGTTCATTCATTTTTTTCTCACAAAGAGGGCAACAGTCAAATTTATCTAGCTTATGTCTACAATTGTATTACAATTCTTATGTACTAGAACTGCCATCAATTGTCCTGTGTGTTATATCATACAGGGGAACTTCCTTTCTTCTTTCTTTTGAAAAGGCAGTGCTTTCATCTAGTTTTATACACTTAGCTAGACAACGAAGTGCTATAACAGTAGAATCAGACATCTAGATATAAAATATAGATCCTCTTCTGATTGCTTCAGAATCTTTTCATATTTGGAGAGGGGGGTTTGAGTAGTGGTGTGTGTGTGTGTGTGTGTGTGTGTGTGTGTGT